GATACAAGCCTACGAGCGAAAGACGAGGTAAGCTTCGGAAGCGCCGTGCTAGATCAAAACTGATATATCTACCATTTATTCAGCGCTTACAACGGTTGTATGCCTCGCCTGTCACTGCAAAACACATGACCTGGCATGTTGAACATGAAACTGAACCTGGGTTAATGTGTCATCCGTCAGATTCTGAAGCATGGAAACACTTTGATCGTTGTCATCCCTATTTTGCGTGTGAACCGCGCAATGTACGTATAGGCCTCTGCATGGACGGATTTGCCCCACATGGACAGTTTGGAGCACAATACTCTTGTTGGCCTGTGATGATTACACCGTATAATCTACCGCCTGACATGTGTATGCGTAGTGAGTTTTTGTTCCTAACTTTAATTTGTCTTGGACCGCACAATCCCAAAAAACGTCTAGACGTATATATGCAACCGGTTATCGAGGATTTAAGACGTTCTTGGTATGATGGAGTCCCCACGTACGATGTGTCGAGTCCCACGTCTTTTGAAAAAAACCCCGGATTCATCCCGTCAGGTCCTGGTGATTTGTCTGGATGCATTGCAAAAAGCGCCTTTCGAACCTCCACTTCTTCAAACGTCCTAAGAAGCATATCATTATGCACTGACGAAACCTTCGGTGTAATCTGATCAAAAAAAGTTGATTGAGCAGCCCCTATAGAGTCAAAAATATGATTGAAATAATTCCAAACCAAAGGTTTAAGGGCTTCGCCCTCACACCACTGTCCTGTACCATCCCGTAACCTGCCAATATGGTTCTTCTTTCTCCGATAAGATGCATATTGGTGGAAATACTTAGTGTTAGCATCCACCGACCGAAGCTAGTGTTGCTTAGCCCGTTGACGCCAATAAATATCCTCCTGATCCAAGAATTTCGACAGCTCCCCGTCAAGTCGATTAAACTCCCTCAACCCTGTAGCACTACGACACCCCCTAAATCTTTCCACCTCAGCCTTTAAATGCTTAATCCGTTTACCAAATTTATGCATCTTGTCGCCCCCCCAAGCCATCAACTTCTTGCCACAATAACCCAACCTGTCCTGGAGAGAAAGTGTTGACGATGAATTCCACGCCTCCTTAATCACATCCTTATAACCGTCATCACGAAGCCATGCATTTTCAAACCGGAACTATTTCTTCCACTTCTAAGTACACGGTTTAGTTAGACATAAAACCAAGGCAGAATGATCAGATGTCCGCATAGGTTGATTTGTGACGCAAGCATGGGGATGAAGCATGCGCCATTCACATGTACTAACGGCACGATCCAGACGCTCTTCAACCCAATTCTCCGTGCCTCTACCACGCTCCCACGTGAAAGGGTATCCCTGCATACCAGGAACAAACAAACCACACTCCTCCAACGTTGAATTAAAAGCAGAAATCAACGATAGAGGTTGAGGCTGACCCCCTCTCTTCTCAGAAGATGCACATACAGCATTGAAATCACTGATGGCCACCCACGGTAAGGAAGATCTGACCTTTAATGAGCGAAGGAGATCCCACGAGGTTTGTCGAAGGTCTCTTCTAGGATTCCCATAAAATCCAGTGAGCCTCCAAGGGAGAGCACCTCCCAAAGAGACCATAACATCAACATGAAATCGTGAGTAACTAATAAGATTAACTGAGCGGTTTGACCTCCAGAGTAACGCCAAACCACCACTTGTACCAACACTATCCACCGCAAGCAATCCCTCAAAACCAATCTTAACACGAAGAACTTCAGCCTTATCACGAGCACCTTTAGTTTCCATGAGAAAAACAAAATCAGGCTTTTTTGCGAAGACGAGCTCCGCCACTTCCTGAACTGTCCGCAGGTTGCCCAGCCCGCGGCAGTTCCAACTGATGATACTCATTGCTCTCGGCGGGCCTGGAACCCAGAACCTGCCGCCTGCACGTTTTTTGGAAAGTCTGTCATGGTTGTATCCACCCCCAAAGGAACCACAATCACTTCATCCGAACCCCTTTTTCGTTTTGAGGCAATTTCCAAGCCATCCTCGTCATGTGAGTTACTCTTTGTAGCAGCCGACACCGAAGATCCTGCACCGTCCCCCAATAAAGGATTGTCAAAGCGCAACCATTGTAAGCCATAACTAGTATCCTTTTTCCTTCCCCCTGCCCGGAGAGATGCATCAAAAGGGTACTCCTCTAGTTCCAAATCTGATAATACCACATCACGACAATGTTTCGCTATATGGCCCATTATTCCACAGTAAAAACAAAAACCATTCAAACGTTTATATTTAAAGTTCACCCAAACTATGCCACCATCTCTCTTAATCAGTTTCATCCTCCTACGTAAGGGTTTCTTCACATCAATGGAGACTCTCACCCGAAAATACGAACGATGTATGGAAGGACTAGTGTCATGTTTAACAAAATTACCAACAAACTTACCCACCGCCTCTAAAATTTCCAGCGAAGTATACCCATCCGGGAGGTCATAAATCTGCACCCACATCTGAACCATGTTCAGATCCTTTGTCTCGACAACCTCCCCTGGACTAAGGAGTTTCATCACTAATGTTGCATTATCAAATGACCATGGACCCTCTTCAATGATTCGGGTCGCATCTTTCATATGGAAGAAGTGAAAGAGATAGAGGTTATCATCCTTTTGCACAATTCGCACCCCTAACGCTGGTTTCCAAGCGGCAGCCATAACCCTTTGCATTATGTCAAATTTGATAACCTTGTCTGTGAGAAATCGACCAGCAATCGTCCAAGTGCGCAAGCTAGTTTCAGCAGTCGGTGCCCCACTGTCAGGAAGAAACGAAAGCCCCTCTTGTTCTTCATCCAAATCGAGGTGTGCTACCCCGATATTCAATCGATTGACGTCTCTTCCTTCCATGGATCTACAGAGGACGAGAAACAGCAGCAAAATTTCCAAAAGAAGCCGACGAATTGAAACCCTGAAACGCAGGGAGAGAAAACCCTAGAAAACGCAGGGAGGCACAAAAGAATTAGAATTGAAGACTCCTTCTTCTTAGTTGAATGTGATAGAATGAAAAAAATAATAAAATCTCTAAGTTCAATATTGTTGATGTTAATGAATCAAAGATATATCGGAAAAATGAACCATTTATTCTGGCGCAACAAGGTGCACAAGTTTACTATGCCAAGTATCCATCGACTCGTCAACGTGCATCTCCTTGGCTTTGTGCGTGTTCCATTCGACCACGAAAAATCATTACTCATGCAACCGCGAGAGAAGTTGATTTTGAAGCATTTCAACAAGAATTTTTTCAACCGCCCCCAATTGTTGAAACAACTCAAGTTGGTGTTTTTTTGCAAGATACTAATGGGGGTGAAATTCAAGTGGAAGAATTACTTAATGATTTCGAAGAAGAGGAATGGATCTATGGTGAAGATACTGAATAAGACGAAGTTTATATTGATGATGATTATGAGAGTGAATGATGTAATTTTCGTTCTTCTTTTCATTGGATTTTTATATGCTATTGTCCGACTAATATTTCAAATTGCAAGTTTTCCTATTTTTATATGCTACTGTTTGTATTTTAATATTTTCTTTGTTCTTAAAAGACTCTTTTTCACCATAAATTATGTAAATAGTATATTTACTTATAATATAAATTTAATAAAATTAGATTTACTTTAAAATAAAGTTTTGAAATATTAATTTTTTGTAATATTTAAAACATTAAAAAAAATAAATTCGTGATAAAAATGTCATAATTACACAAAAATCAAACTATGACAATTTTTTAAGGACCGAGGAGTAAAACTAAATATTTTACTTTTTTCGTACGAATTTAAGTTGATAAAACCCTTGCAGCACAGTAAGCTATACAACGGTGTAGGCACAGAAATAGTCGTGCCTATATCTTTATTCAACTTGCAATAAATATGGTTTGAGTTTTGGCACGGCTATAGCCGTGCCAGCAAGCGTTACAACACAAAAAGGCTGACACAATTACAGAGATATTTCTTTGGCACGGATAAGGGCGTCCCTACGTAATAACCCAAACATTTCGTAATTAATGCACACCCTTAGGCACGGGTGTGGCCGTGCCTAAGTTCGATCCAATAAAAAAGACTGACACACTTGCAGAGGCTATTAATGTAGCCCCAAAAATCGAAGAGTTGAATGTGTTTGGCACGGAAAAGGCCGTGCCTACGTAATTATTCAAACTGTCGTGTATTTACTGCTCGGTGTATGCACGGATTCCGACGTGCGTAACGTCGTGCCAAATTTTAAGTATATAATCACCCCTTAACACTTTTTCCCCGTTTTTTCATTACCCACTCCGCTCCTCCTACTATTCTCTTTCTCCAAAGCCGTAACTCCTCCGCCCTCCTCCCTCACAACCCATTCTCCTATCAATGTCTTCAACAAGTAACACTTCCTTCCGCGGTAGCATTCGCGGTAGGGGAAGCTTTCAGCGTTCTCACTCTCGAGCATCACCGGAATCGCCATCTACCACTACCCCTCAGTCTATATTCAATGCCGGTGGCGACTTGGAGGCTAAGGTCGAGGTCGAGGTCGAGGTCGAGGGCGAGGGCGAGGGCGGAGGAGGCGCCGAAGGAGGAGACGGAGTTTCAACGGAGGCTAGTGCAGTGCCATACGGGGATCTTCCGCGCTTGATCACCAAGGCCGAACTGAAGGGGTAATTTTTTGCATTTTATTATCTCATTTATTATTTGTATGATTATTTAAGTTTTTAATTTTTTTTCCAGCGAACAAGCTGTCCTAAACACAATTAAAGGCATAATCAAAGAAAGTTTTCATGGGCCGTGGAATACCTACACAACCGCCCCCAAGGAAGTTCGTCAGCAATGGTGGAACCTGTTTCGTGTAAGTATTTTTTTTTGAAATACACTTAGATGATTTTTTCTAATACTGAATTAATTTTATGACTTTATAGCTTCGTTACACCTGGTTGCCTGGGGCATACCCGGCAGACACTGAAAAAATCATGAGGAGCGCCTTTAACACCCGTGGGTTCGTATGGTTGACGAAGAGGTTCATGAATGCACGAAACAAAAATAAGAAGCCGAGTTTTGTGGGAGAAGATCACTGGGAAACGATGGTTAAGTATTGGGCAAGTCCGGATTTTCGAGCAAAGAGCGTGAGGTCGAGCAAGAACCGAAACACGAAGAAGGCAAAGCAAAGGCAATATTATGGGGGGTGTCGTTCTGTGAGCGAGCACATCAAGAAGATGGTAAGTGTTTTTCTGTAGTCTTTACTTACTTATGTCAGTTTTTTATTTAAATTTAATTGTGAATAGGAGCAAGAGGACAAAGTCGTTCCAAATCAACTCAAGGTCATTAACCGCTTGCTTGTGAAGAAGGGTTCCCAGCCGAGAATTTTAATCAAGGTCATTAACTCAAGGATATAGTAGATATTGTTTACACAAAAATTTTAATCACATTTTAATTAGTTCTTTAAATTGTGATTTATGTAGAAAGACTACAAGGAGAAGCTCCTTCTAAAGAAGCAAGCCGCATCCGGATCGGGGTCCAATTCTATAAGTCTTGATGATGTTGCTGAGGAAGAACTAGAAGATGACCTTGGGTTGTACGTCGAGGTGGTGGGGAACAACAAGAACCGGGTCTTCGGGCGGGGCTGTGAAGCTGGATCCTCGGAATCACTTTCCTCGGGAGGCACTAGTCATGAAGACTACGCTGCCCGGCTGAAGACCGAATTGGAGCTGAAATTGGAGAAAAAATTTGAAGCAAAATTTCAGGAAAAAAGTGCCGATTTAGAGAAGAAATATCAGGCTCAATCCCATGATTTGTTAAGTCAATTTCAGGGGTTGAAAGAGTCGGTCAATTATTTGACCCAAGGCCTTAGTTTCCAGGTTCTTCGTCCGACAGTGCAACCCCCACGAAGTCCAAGCCCTTTGCTTCATCAACATATGACCCCTTCTTATTATTGTGCCTCACAGACCTTGATGTCTCCCGTGCCTGTTTTTCAACAACCTACGGTCGTCCCCCAAATGCCAAACGTTCAATCGGGGGGGCATAATTCAAATAACTATGATGCTAACAGTTTTCTAAACAATGAAAACATTTGTGTGTGATCTTCGTTGCTAGACATTACTTTCATTGTGGACATTAATTTTATTTTTACTTTATTATGCTGCGAGTGATTTATTACGTATTTGAATTATGGTGTGTTATGAATTATTTTTTTATTTTCGATTTTGTTTTTTTTATTTTTTCAAAAACTAAGGCACGGATAAATCCGTGACAAAATTAAATTTTTTTATTTTTTTGAAATCCAAGGCACGGATATGCCAGTGACAAAATATTTGAATTTCGAAATTTAATCCCCGCGTATTTAAAAATTTTGAATATTTTTGAATATTTTGAAAATTTCCAAAATCAAGGCACGGATATGGCCGTGACTAAAAAATTCAATTTCGAAATATAATTCCCCGCGTATTTGAAACTTTTGAAATTTTTTGAATATTTTGAAAAGTTCTAAAATAAAGGCACGAATATCTACGTGGCTTTTTTGGCACGGACATGTACCGTGACTATTACAATATTTTATAAATGCTATCGGGACAAAAAAATCTGCGGTTTAGTCGTGCCTAAATACGAACGGGGCGATTCCCACGGGCAGATCCGTGCCTAATATCTTTAACGTTATTCTTGCAACCGTTACTTTGGAACGAATTTGTTACAAGCGACGCCGTCTCTACTGTTGGCACAGACGTGATTTCCGTGCCAAACAGTTTGGAGCTTCGAAATTGGCAGCCTTTCGTATCCGTGCCAAAACCCGTGCCTAATAGCATAGCCACGGGAAACTAAAACTGTTGTTCGTGCCAAAAGCCGTGCCAATCCCTCGTTTTTTTTGTAGTGATTGGAGAATTCGATTCCATGCAAATCAATTCCATAGAATATCAACTCCTAATTCAATTCTAATTCCGTCTATAAAACGTACCGTGATAGTAAATAATGTCTCACAATTTAACATCACAGAGTTCTATAGGGGAAGGCAAAGTGTACACACTTAGATACGAGGTGCAAAATGTCCTTTTGGAAAACATTGGAAGTGGCATTTTAAGCATGCATATGAGATCTAAATAATGTAATTAATCTTTGAAGTAGATGAAGAAACAACCCAGTATAATCCCACGGGAGTAGGGCCTTGCTACCCCGCATCTAACAAATATCAAAAATGGAATGGGAGCTCATACGTTTGATAACAACATAGCCCTCTGTATGTCAAGTTTGTATAGTTACAAAGAATCATGACATAAGGGACGGTTTTGATTCAAGAAATGGCCTTTTCATCTTTCATTATCTTAAACAGCTACTAAGCACTGAAATAATCTACAATAAAAGTAATGAGTACTCTAATTTAATGACAACAAGTTTTGTATACATATGCATGCCCCTGTAACCATGCATTCCCTAGATTTACACTAGTGATACAGTGAATGGGTTAAATGAATTGAGTCGTCCAGTGATACATCACGGGTCTACATGTCCAGCCACTTCATCATCATCACTATCGCTGTGACCACTAACATACTCATCACTTATCTCATCCTCGTCGCTATCTTCTTTTAGAAAGCTGATGTTTTCCTTCTTTGCATGCCGCTCACAATATTCTGTAACAGCAATAGACCCACAAATATCTTCATGAGATGCAAAACCCATTATTTATTTATCATTCAAATGCTACTTTGAGGAGCACACATCTGGCCTCAAGCCCTCAAATATTTTTCTTTACCTTTTTTTAAAATACAATTGGTCTTAGTAATAAGTAAACATGGTGAAAATTCTAGGGACTGTGTTTCGTCAATTGGGAGGCACAAATGTGCCATAGAATTTAGACGAACTATAGATTGACCCCCCTAACTTCTAAACGGACCTGTTGAGTAAAATTCAGCCTCCATTATGCCAAACATATTCTACACAATAGTACTCCGTATATGTTAATTTTAGCGCATGTGTACATGAGCCCATTTGGCAGTCACGTACCCAATCAATGTGTTATCGGGCACTAAAAAATGTACAAAGATTTAATGAAGCTTATTTTTTTCCAAAGATGTGGTTTAGCGGTATAGCTAGAAATTTCAATGATGTAGAGATTGAAACACCTATAGGGCTGTGGAGTAGAGCTTATATAAAGTGAACTATGTAGTAAATTATATTGAACTTATATAACACTAAACTTATGCTACCTCCGTCCCAAAAAGATTTACACATTTTGACTAAAGTTGAAATTAAGGGAGGGATAATTTTGTGTTGACTTTCCAAAAATACCCTTGATGTGATGGGTAAAAGTAGGATGTGATGTATAGATTATTAAGAAAAAGGTATGATGTGATAGGTAGGGTTTGAAAAAGTAAGGGATAAAAATGGTTTTTTAATAGAAATGGGTAGGAGATTGTGGGACGCAATTTTTTTGAAAGATGTAAATCTTTTTGGGACGGAGGGAGTATATACTTTGGTTTTATTTATTTTCCCTCGTATGTACGTTCTTCTATGTCTTTAATAAATTTTGGTAAGGTTTCCCTGGACCTTGCACCTCAGAGTTTAGAGGTTCTCTACCAGGATTAAAAAAAGGTTTAACTAATAAATATAGAATTGAACCTAAATGTATTGAACTAATAAAACTTATAAGTATTGATTTACATCATGATACAACAACCTTGCACAATTCCACAAAGGTAGGGTTTGGGGAGGATGTGTGTACGGAGACCTTACCCCTACTCGAAAGTTGAGAGACTGTTTCCAAGAGACCCCTGACTCAAGTAACACAAGAAGCACACAACACACGAACAGAAGCATAAAGCTGGCTATAAAAGTAAAAAAACGCAAAAAGCACCAAGGATATGAAGCACACACATCGTTACACGCGAAAACTACCACTACACTACCAAGGTATCCTAACCTTATCTCTCCAAAAATATCTATCTAAGGCCATATCTTTGGCAAGGGCCAAAAGTATAAGGTCTTGGCTAACCACTTCTTTCTAAGTTCTCCTAGGTCTACCCCTACCTGCACCAGAGCCTTAGTACTTTTATGTGTCACATGCCCAAGCCACCTTAACCAAGCTTCTCGTAGATTACTCTCCATTGAAGTCACTCCCACCCGTCCCCGAATAGCGTCGTTCTAGATCCTATCAAACCTCGTTTGCCCAAAAATCCAACGTAGCATCTGCATTTCCGCAACATGTAGCTGTGGAATGTGAATTGTTTTAACCGCCCAGCACTTTGCTTTGTACATTATAGTTGGTCTCACAACAAACCTATAGAAGTTTCCTTTTATTATAGCCGAAATTTTCTTGTCATAGAGTGCCCCTAAAGCCAACTCCGGTCCCACTTGGCCCAAGTAGCTCCAATATGATGAGAAACATCCGTGTTTATCTCCCCATCAGTCTCACTACAAGAAAATCTACTTTTAATTACGAATCAATAATGACGGGTTGAAGAGACTCTCATTATATGTGTTATTTATATATCTTTTATGACGAGAAAAGTACCATAGTTAAAATTAGTTACTTTTTGTGACCAATCTTTTAACTCTCACTACAAATTTAATATGGAGTATCTATTTGTATTTAAACCAAATTAAAGTAAAATATAATTTAAAATTTCCCTTAAAAAATGTAGTCCAAAATTAATACGGAGTGTTGGATGCTTACTCGAAAAAACCAGCGGCAAGAAATTCTGGATTTGCCGCCTGAAAAAGCCCTAAGGAACTCCAACTCAATAGGAACTCCAGTACCACCGGCCTACAAACTGCTAGACACGCCGAGCTTCCGCCGCCACTCTCTCCACCATTCTATTCAACTGGACTCTTCCCGTCGGCTTTTTTTCCTATACAACCTTACCCCTACCGGTCGGCCAGGTATAATATATTAGCCCTCGTCTTTGTAAAAATTCTATTCCCAAATCAGGTTATTTTCCTCTATTTGTTTTAGATATGTTAGATGTAAATTTTTGAGACGTGAAATTGTGAATCAATGATTTTTTTTCTCTATTTTTTTATCAATAATTTATGGTGTGTCAGATGTGAAATTGTGAATTTATGATTTTTTTTACACAAGAAATATGAATTTGCCCTTTCTGATTAGGTTTATTTTCTTATGATTATATGAAGGTTTTGATCTTGTGTTGATTAAATTAGTAAATTGTTAATTGAAATTGTGAATTTGTATTTTTGATATGAAAAGTACTATTTTTCATTATTATTTGTTAAATATGTTAACTCCATTTAGCTTGACACCTAGATGCTTGTCAAACACTAATGCATTACTGCTCTCTCTAAACTAATGAACTACTCTGTATATTGTTAAGAATGGTAAAGGGTCAATTAAGCCCTCTAATATGATCTCAATCTGAAACTTCTGAAACTTCTGGAAATTGTGTCTTAATAGTTATATTAGCCTATGATAGTTATATTAGCCTATGATTGTTATAGCATAGTTATATTAGCCTATGATAGCTATATTAGCCTATGATTGTTATAGCATAGTTATATTAGCCTATGATTGTTAAGGCTATATACGATTGTAACTAATCTATGAGCATGGGTATGCCATATGAATGTCTCATTGAAACATCATGAGTTATGAAATAAGAAGCAAAATTCTAGTTTCTGGGAGAGTGGTTTTCGCTTGTCACCCGCTTGTGTTTGTTTTGAGCAACTTGCTTTTGGGGGATAGTTTTTGGTTTTCGGGTTCTGGTTTTAGGTTTTCAATATCAGGCTTTTGGGTTTTAGCAGTTGGCTTTTGGGTGGGCTGGTTTATGGTTTCAATTTGAAAAGTTGAATGAGGAGCTGATTTTTAGGCTTGGTTTGGAGAAGGATTGTGCTTGTGTATATATTTTGGGACATAGACCAGATTAGGACCCCCCTATACTTCTTTCAAACAGTAGATTAGGACCAAATAACCCTCTTCATCTTTAATGGCACATATCTAGTTCTTCATGTCTACTTCTTCTCCTTTTCATCCTAACCATTATATTACCCAGAGTAAACTTCAACTGAAAAGACACAACATTAGTACTCCACATGTTCTTCTCCTTTACTTTCAATATATGTCCTGCACACGTTATTGGAGCTAAACCACATGTTCTTCTCCTTTACTTTCAATATATGGTACTACTTAGTACTCCTATCCCTACCACCACCAGATCTTCCTCTTCTGCCAGCAGCCCTTCCTCTGCCACTGACGAATATGCCATTTGCAGGTCTCGAAGGCACTGTTCACAGTAATGTTTGAGACTGCCCTGTCCCAGGTTTTTGCTCTTGTTTTCTCCAATTTTCTGATGCTTCTTGGTCATGATTTGGGGAGTGTTTCACCCCTTTAACTGTATTTTAATTCAATATTGGTCGTGAGTCCCCTGAATTCTCTTTGCTCGAGTAACTGTTCATCCTTTTCATTGGTATCTGTCTGTTCGTGTGTGCTGTTTGTGGGTGCATTTGAAACACAATGCCTTATCGAAAGACAATGCCTTATCGAAGTCCCTCGTTTCCTCCGTCGGTGGATAACTCCAAATGAACCTCTGGATAAGCATGTAGTAAGTACACATACCATTGACATATTTTTAATACTGATTTTTTTTAGAATCATTGCAAATTTACTATCGTCTGTGCTCTTTTCCAATGTATTGCGAAGATCCTTACAGTTGGAGCCCTTCACCAAGTTGATTCAGCTGCACCTCGGGCTGCAGCTAATGCATGGAACGACAAGTTTGCACCTTTACCAAAACCCTTGCCGGTGGTCAACGTAGGAGGCCCTTCGAGTAACCTTTATTCCATCACTCAGTCTTGTGATGGAGCTAAGGATTCCACAACTGAAAAAGCATGGCAAGTAAATCAAGATGAAAACCCTAATGACTTGCAAGTAAGAGATAGTGAGGATACTGTCCCGGGAATATTATATGACTTGCTATAGAAGGAGGTGGTTTCTATGAGAAAAGCTTGTCATGAAAAGGATCAAAGTCTAAAAGACAAGGACGATGCAATCAAGGTATGTTCCACACTCGTGCTATAACTTCTTATACTCCATCCTTCCCAAAATAACTTCCGGTTCCTACCCCTCCTAATCCCCCGGTAGACTTTTTACCATTTGTCTCAGCATAATAAAGGTCCAGTTGGTCATTGAGTCCCATATCGTTGCTCCAGTTGTAAATCTTTATCACTCGATATGTTGGAATGCAGAAAGGCAGGTCCATACTGATTCCATGGATGTCACTCTCCCTATTATCATCAACAAGAGCAGTATGATCTTCACCAGTAGGACTGTTCTGTCTCGTTGGCCCTTTTTCTGTCTCGTACACTTTTCTTATTTGATAGTCCTATAGTTCCACATTTTTACTATTAGATTTGGACACAATTTAGGCATCACACATTATTTGTTCTAAAAAGGGATATTTGTGTCTGTTCACTAAATTTATATTCGATATGGAACTTAACTTGGTTCTCAATTATGAAATTTGGACCAGATATAATCCTCAGTCCTCACAGTATGAAATGCCATTCTTAATTACTCCGTAACATGGACTGTGCCATATGACTAGATTGAGTCTAAAATGCCATTCTTAATTTACATGGACTGTGTCATATGGCTAAATTGAGTCTAAATTGCATAGTTGATGATCAATTTGAGAAGTATAGTCTAAAGACTAATAACAAATTAGATATTAACTATGTTTTGTTTTTTGTTTTTTGTTTTTATTTTTTGCCTAAGTTTGTTTCTTTATTACTATTCAGATGTTAGCTAAGAAAGTAGAGACACCAACAAAAGCTATGGAAGTTGAGGCCAAAAAGATGAGAAGGGAGGAAAGAAGTTTCTGCTGGATTAAGCTGATTTTTTTAAATAAATAAATGCTATGTTTCGTTCCACAGGAAGCCCATGTATGTAGTTGGTGCTGAGTGCTGTAGGTGGAAGTTTGCAGAATTTCACAATACATTGAGGTAAAAAGGGCTAGTCAAGCCATTTACCGGTCTTTGAGGATGTGAGTAACAGCTCTCCCCCTTTAGATTTCCTTTAACATAAACTATGTAATCAAGAAGTATGAACTTTTTTGGAGGGGCTTTGGTTTATGTAGATCTTTAACATAAACTATGTCATTTCTTTTATATTATGTAGATCTTTTTTAAATCTTGGAGGGGCTTTGGTTTGGCCCTCCCCTCCCATTGTATACATCCTTTCTCATTTTAATAAAATTTTCTTTAATAAATGCATAAATCAATGTGTGTGTCCTTCTCTCTCTCTCTCTCTCTCTGTGTGTGTGTACGTGTCCTATGCAATTAGAGTTGGACCTCATGATAATTGATGATAAAGTAGAAGATCAGGCAGGAGGAGACCTTCAAAAACAGTATGAGATGCTAAAGCCGATTTTTGAACAACACATTAGCGATGACTTTGAGAATTCTCTTTGGATGATCAAGGAAGCGTTACGCTCGCCTTTTGTTAAGGATAAGATTCAACAGGGGCTAGTGTCAACACTTCGGGGGAAGGCACTTAAAGCAACAAGGGATGCTATGAAGAGTGCACAGTGTATAAGGGCTATCAAGCTGAAAGGTACGCATCATCCAGTTCTTCTATGCTGTGCAAACATTGACGTACCTATCATTACGCCATTGTGCGAACATCTAATTGACTACGAGTTATAGGGAGGACTACTCGGTTTTCTTTCTCCTTATCTTCTGTTGGATGTCATTTGGGGACATAGATGTTTTTTCTTATATGGATGGTAATTAGCATGGACTACATTCAACAAGGGCAATTGTCTCTTTGGAAACAACAATTTACTAATGGACTATACTCTGGCAGTCTTTAGCCAAATTGGTTCAGGATTCATCACTGCTTCTTCGATAGAATTTCATCAGTGCCCTATTACTGGAGTCATGTTCTCAGCCTACTATGCAAATCTTTATTTTCTCTTCTTTTAAATGTTGCTTAGAGATGGCAGACTGTTTTACGCTTTATTGTTTTATCCGTTTAGAAAAGTTTACAGGCTTTCATTTTGCAAAGGCCATTAGTATCCACCACTGCTGGAATTGGATTCACAGCTAGCACTTTGAGCTCCACATTCGAATCATTGGGGTCAAGCTGTATTATCAATTATGGAATCAATAATGAAGGGAAGGCAGAACACATGGGTTAGGATTCATTCGGACCTCTCCCTCCAGGATTGATTTAGATTTTATGCTTGGTTGTCCTTTAGTTTTTGCCTCTGCGTAGGTCTGGCTCTTTGGTATCTTTCCCTTCTTTTCATTTCTTTTGGCTCTTTGTTGGGGCTGGGCCACCCCCTCCTCTTGTACTTTTATTTCTTTTAATAAAAAAATATATACTCCCTCAATATATATATATATATATATATATATATATATATATATATATATATATGTATATATATAAAGAGCATTTTGATGAAGGTAAAAATATTCTCATTAAATAATTTTAATGAGAGGACTTGTAACCCGTCATTATTTGTAATTAGCTACGGAGGCTATAATGACGGTCCATGAGAGTAAATTTCCTCTCATTAAAATGTTTTAATGACGGTTTTTTGTGTTTTAACTACGGATTGTACTCACACTATAGAGCATTTTTCTTGTAGTGTCTGGAGGGTTGGACCCAGGTAACAGAACTTGTCTCTCTTGGGCACTAGGTGGGAATCAATACTAACTTCCCCGTCTAACTTTGTCACTCCACTACTAAAAGAACATATCTTGTATTCAGTTTTAGTCCTACTTAGTTTAAAGGGAGATCTCCCTGGATAAGAGAAAAATTATGAAAATACCAAAACAGAAGTCTTAAGTCTTTTAAGATAAAAATAGGAGTTCACACTGCCATTGGTACAGTGTCACACTCATGACATTGTCACACTACAACTACCACCAGAGTACCATCACTGATCACCGATGGTTGATTGATCACATTACCATATTACACTTTCATTAATTTTTCATCACATTGCCAACTTGTACTCTTACATCAAACTTTATTATACTTTTCTTTTGGTCCTAAAATACATAGGACTCAAATTTCAGTATTTTCATACCTTTTTACGCTTATTCAAGGAGATTTCTTTAGTTTAAAACCTTTCGATTCCAAGGAAAGCCGTGATAACTCTAACTTATCATTAAGTCCATACCTCCCATGTCTCATCAACTATTACAATATCATCCGCAAAAATTATGCACCAAGGGACCTCCCCTTGGACACCTTCTAACAAGATGTCGATCACCAAAGAAAAAAGAAAGGGACTAATGGTCGACCCCTGGTGTGACCTCACCAATGTTCCTCACCCTTGTCCTACGCCCACCATACATATCTTAGATTGTGTAGATGTATGCAATCGACACCCCTCTAAACTCAAGACACCTCCACAAGATCTCCCTCGCCACCTTGTCGTAGGCATTCTCAATTTCATTGAACACCATATGTAGACCCTTTTTCATAGACCTATACTTTTCCATTAGCTGCTAAAATTGGTGGATAGCCTCAGTGGTCCACTGACCAGGAATGAAACCAAACTGATTCCTAGATACGCACACCCCCTTCCATATTCTACGCTTGATGATACGCTCCCAAACCTTATGGTCTGGCTAAAGAGCTTGATACCTTGTAGATGTGCTCTTACCCTTGTACAAGAAGACCATCACACTTTCTCTTCACTCATCTAGCATCTCATTCATTCTAAAAATGACAATGGAGAGCATGGTTACCCAAATTTAACCCACTGATACCCACGTACTTCCCAAACTCCACTAGAATATCATCTTGCCCCAATGCTCACCCCCTTCTCATCCTACCTATGGTCCACACCACCTCTTCTTGACAAATTCAGTGATAAAACTCGAAGTCCCAATGCCATTTTGATTGCCCTAGCTTGCCAAACTCAAGCCTCAGTTCCCTACTTGCATTCGAAGGCCATGGAAGTACTCCCCATTGTTTGGACACCTTTGTCATCTCTAATAAAAATATGCCATTAATATCCTTCATGTATCTCACCTACTCCAGCTCTCAAGCATTCCTCTCACGCGTCTTAGCTAGCTAGAAAAGCCTCTTATCACCTCACCACTCCTCATTGTCCTTATACAGGCATTCAAAAGAAAAATTTGTTGCACTTGTAGCATCCAAATTGGCTTCCTTGCGAGCAAGCTTGTACTCCATTGAAGTCTATCATGTTCATCATTGAAGTCTATGAACCTCTTATGCGCTATCTTCTTAGTTTCCACATTATCTTGTTCATCACTCCACCAGTCATCTTTATGCTGACCTGCACTACCGTAGCTCACACCTAGCACTTCTTGGGCAACTTCTTGGATGCAGCTAGCTGTGTAACACCATATGTTGTTTTCCTATATGAAGGATTCCCACGCACCTTTGTTCTAAACTCTTGCAGCCAACTCTAGATACTTATCCCCACCAAACTCCCCCAGCGGATTTGAGGACAACCATATGTCGTTTGCCTATTCTTTACCCACCCAATGTTAATTTCCATCACCCATAACTTGTGTTGGGTGGTAAGGTCTTCACTCGAGTTTACTTTAGGATCGTTACGTAACACCTAGTCACACTTATGAAGAAGGAAGTAATTGATTTGTGTCCTCCCAAGTCTGCTAACAAATGTAACCAAGTGACCTCCAGCTTAGGGAAACATGAGTTAGCGGCCACCAAATAACTCTCTCCAGTAAAATGCAAAAGCAAAACTCCTTATGGGTTCCTATCACCAAAGCCAAACCCTCCATGCACTTCCTCAAAACCTTCTATTGAATCCTCAAATCCTCAATATGGTCATTAAAGTTGACTCTAATAAAAACTTTCTCTACCTATCACCCCATCTAACGTCTCCCAAAACTCTCTCTTGTTGTCATCGTCCAAGCCAACACGAGGGGAATATGCACTCACCACGTTGATACCAAAGCCACCCAACAATAAATTAATGGTTGTCAACCAATCACTAATCCTCCCCACCTCCGCCACAATATCTTGCAACTCTTGCCCCACCAAAATACCAACTCTATTTTTGCCCCTAGCAACACCTAAATACCACAACTTAAACCCATCCACATCTCGCGCCTTGGTACCCACCAATCTAGTCTCTTGCACACATGCCACCTGAATCTTCCTCTGCTTGATAGCCTGCACCAACTCGATCGACTTACTCGTGAGGGAGCATATGTTCCACAAGCCAAAATGCATACAGAACACTACTCCACCCCTATATGTAACCCCCCCCCCCCCTCCAACCCCAGGATATGACCATAGACCCGCATAACTATTTAAATCCACCCTACTAACACCATAACACTAAAACATAAACACAAACACCAAAAACTAACAAAGAGAGCAAGCAAGACAGAGTAAAACCGTAAATAATAAAGTAGTGCAAAGCAGACAACAATACAAGCAATAACAATAGCAAAGAATTGAAAGTTAAGATAGAATAAGTAAAGAAAGCAAAGTAAATCACATTGGTTGGCTGTGGGGGAACATGGACTGGGAGTGAGGTTGGGGCCTAGGTAGAAGGGTGGGGGTGGGGGGCTGACTGGAAAGATCAGGTGGCAGGTGTGAGACTCTATATGTGGAAAGGGCTATGTATAGGGCTAAGAATGGAGGAAGGCTAGAGCTAAAGGGGGATTGCTATGCAGTGGGGAAGGCTAGAAATGGAGAAGGGTCGTCGGTTTAGGTTGGAGGCTAAGGTTGGGGGGGAGATCGATTTGGCTAGAGGCCAAACGGATTAGGGAGGATGGTCAACACCGATGGGACGAGTTGGGGGTGGTATGTCTTGAGAGATGGATTGGGGATGGCGGAATACAGTCACGGAAGGGGGTAGCGGGTCAGGTAGGATAAGAGTAGGGGTGGGCTGTGTGGTGAACTTACCTGGTTACTTTAGCTACTGACCACCGTCGCATGCCGTCGGCCTACGCTGCTATCCCAACCACAAAACAACCAGACGGGGGAGAGAAGACGGCATGCAGAGAGCAACAGGTGATTTGATCAAATAGTAGAGAGACGTTTGATCGTAGAGAGAGTTAGATAGAGAGATTTTTAAAGAGACAAAAACCCATATAATTACTCTTTAATTACATTATACTCCCTCCCTTTTAAAAAACATTTAACGAGTTCTGCCATATTGAGAGTAAGGTTGACCATCGTGCTAAGTATTATCAAATCAAATCGTATAAATAGGACATATATATGCACTCAAGACACCTTGTGGAGACTACAAGTTATTGTTAATGTTTTTTGAGCTAACTAATGTACTTGCCAAATTCAAGGATCTCATTAACAATGTGTTCCATCCTTTTCATAGGAAGTTTGTTCTCATTATTTTTAATGATATTTTGATTTATATTAAGACAAAAGACGACTCCCTTGACCAAATTGGTATTTTGACAATATTAAGCAACATTCCTTCTTAACTAAACAAGGTAAGTGTATGTTTGCTTCTAAAGGAGTTTCCACTAAACATATTAATTTAAGCTATGCAATAATGGATACACCAACATCAGCCAAGATCTTAGAAGGGGTTTATGTCTAGTCAGGTACTGTAGGAATTAGAGCATTTATCAAAGACTATGAGGCTATCCTTTCATTAGCAAACCTTAGACTAATTTACCTACAAGGGAGGTTTCAAATGATACTCAGAGACTCTTGCAGCATTTGACAACCTTAAACAAGCCTTAATAACGGCCCCCACCCTGGCCGTAAGTGTCCGCTCATAGGATTGTAGACTGGCCCCACAAACCAACACAAGTCTTTCCCGCACACTTTGTCCTCACTCGTGCGCACCCAAGGAAAGTTCCTAGGGGGTCACCCATCATAGAATTGCTCCAGGTCAAGCACGCTTAACTTTGAAGTTTCTAGGTGATGAGCTCTCGAAAAGAAATGCACCTTGTTGGTATGAGTAGTACTATCAATCCTTTTTGAGCTCTTCCCATTCCCATCTTGATACGGGGTATTACATTCACCCCCACTTAGAAATGCAACGTCCTCGTTGCATCCTTTCTTTTTAAACCCTTAGATCTTCCCCGCTAGGTGAACTAGGCTCTTCTGGCCCATCACGGTCGCAGGGTTGCTCTGATACCATTTGTAACACCCCGGCCCCCACCCTGGCCGTAAGTGTCCGCTCATAGGATTGTAGACTGGCCCACAAACCAACACAAGTCTTTCCCGCACACTTTGTCCTCACTCGTGCGCGCCCAAGGAAAGTTCCCAGGGGGTCACCCATCCTAGAATTGCTCCAGGTCAAGCACGCTTCACTTTGAAGTTTCTAGGTGATGAGCTCTCGAAAAGAAGATGCACCTTGTTGGTATGAGTAGTACTATCAATCCTTTTTGAGCTCTTGCCATTCCCATCTTGATACGGGGTATTACATCATCTCCATACCCTTCATTATTGAAAATTACAAAAATATCAAAATGGCACGTGAAGCAAAAGATATCAACTCTTTTCCAACCGCTGGTTGTCTAAATGAATTAAATAATGACCATAATAAATATGTAAGATAACTCTAATTCTAGATAAAAAAGAATTCACCCTTGTTTGTGTTTTAGGTGGTATGTTATAAATCTGGGTACATAATGTTATTATATAGTCCTCATATATAAAGAGACAAAGGGAATACTAATGAAATTCAATATTGAAAGGGAAAGGAAATTTTTAGAGGTGACACATAGCTAAGAGTGAGAGGGAGACAACTCTTAAAGATTGATGTATTTTCCATTGAATCAGGTATTTAAGAGAATATAAAGGCAAGCTGGCAAAAGGATTCAAAACTCTGTCTGATATTGAACAGTTGCATGTTGCAACAAGGGAAAGATAATAAAAAATACTCTTTATTTTCAACTAACCCACAGTGGCATAAAAACCAGTGGTAGGACTAGAGCTTACAATCAGAACCAAACTACTACAATGTAGTCATTCTTCTCCTAGTGGTGTCCAATCTGAGAAGGATGCTTCCATTAAAAACAGAGAAGTTGGCTCTATTGGAGGGGCATAAACAAGGAAATTAGGCTTTATAAGGGTTGTTAGGTTTTTCAAGCTTGCATGCATATGACACAACTGCTTACTAGGGTCTCTTACAGTTAGACTTTCCCTTGACATTTCCATGGATTTCATTGAAGGCAAACCTTTTCTATTGGTTAATGACTTAATTTTATGGTGCTTGACACGTTCAATAAGTACTTCCATGTTTCACTCATATCATACCCCTATACAAACTTTGAAGTTGCTCAAGTGTATTTGACAACATATGCAAGTTTTGCATGGTTTGCTCTAGTCCATTTTAAGTGATAGGGATGTTTCATTCCTTAGTGTCTTTTCTCAAGGTCGATTTTCAATTCATGCAGTGGATCCACCCTTGTCTTCATTCTATCACCTAAAAATGTATGGATAAAAAGATGTGGTTAATAGATGCATGGAATTCTACATAAGGTGCATGTTTTCCCAAAGCATAGAGGCTTGGGTTGGGTGGATCCCTTTAGTTGAATGGTGTTATAACCCCACATTCCATTTCTCCACAAACACTGTAACGCCCCAAAATATAACCTAGAATTTACAACTCCCTCCATCCCAGTGTATTCGTCCAATTTGACTTTTTTGAGTCAAGCTCGACAAGTTTTAATATTCAATGATTCTCAATTTGTATTGCACATTAATAAAATGGAATAAATTTTTGAAGGTTCTCAAGTAGATATATATAATTAAATCATTTTTACACAAATATACATTATAGTTTTTATTTAATTGAGGTCCAAAGTTTATCAAGTTTGACTTGAAAAAGTCAAACTAGACGAATACACGTGATGGACGTAGTATTAATTTCTAATTAGTCGTAATTCTAATTTTACTACAATTAACTAAGCATTGAACTATATGGCTAAAATAAGATATTTTTAGAGTTATCGTTTTATGTTCATATTTATATTTGGATTGTTGGTCTTGAAGAGATAAACCTAACAATGTATTCTGTGTGTGAATCCAAGTTACAAAACTTAGTTACCTAACCGCCCCAAAAGAAAAAAGAAAGTAAAAATAAAAGAGTAAAACATAAGTTTGTCATAATTATAAGATTATTTATCCAATATTAGTGTTGTTGGGTAGTTCTCGTGAAAAGATCATCAACGACATATTGCTTGTAAAATTTTGAATATTATGTAAAAAGTTAGGAGTGAAAGAGTTGTTGCAGTAGAGTAAATAAATAAATGGATTTTATTATATAACTAGTATTCACCTTTTGCCTCACACGTGCTCGCATATTTTTTAAATTTTGACATCTAAAATATAAAATATTGTTTATTTTAAATTATCTAATGATATATGATGTGTTTGATAAATGTTTTCTAACTATAAAATATCTCTTTTGAGAGAAAAGTTTTAGTTTTAATATTGATTTACATGTACTAAAATTTATAAAAACCTTCATTCTTAGATTTAATAAGTAGAGAGAAAATAATGAATACTTTATTAAAAACAACATAAGGCTTTCTTTTTTAAAAGATTAATAAATTTTATAGTTTTTTAGATATATATCTAATTATGTATGAATTATATTTTAAAAAGTATATTTTAAAATGGTGTAACATATAAACTCCAAATGAATACAATCATTTAATAAAGTATATTGAAGTTTTTAATTTATATACTCCCTTCGTCTAAAAAAAGATTATCATAGTTAGACGTTTTTGGTAAAACTATGTAACACTCTAATTACAAATTATATACAGTTTTAAATAATTAAATGTCATAAAAACTTGATATATGAAAACAATATTTTAAATGGATACATTTTTTTCTAAATTCACATTATAATTAAATACAATATACTTTTTGTACACTTTGTGGTCAAAGTATAGAGCAACTTGACCAAAAATATCATTGATTTAATTATTAAAAAAATAAAATAAAACTTCCAAATAAATCAATTAACTTATGATAAATCATTGAAAGATACGTAAGTGGTATCTGGCCTATATGCCATGTGCTATCCTACAACAAAAACAAATTTAATTTATTTAATTTAATTTGTTGAAAAATTATATAAAAAATTAAAGAATGTTGTAGAAAAAAATTAAAGTAAAATATATAGTTAATAAAATATTTTTATTTTTTAGAAATAAAAAAAATAAGATAACTGGTGGATTCTTTTGAAAAATATATAAAATGTTAGTTTTTTAATTAAAAAAGTTATAATACTTTTCTTTGAATAATCATATAATTGAGCATATTTAAAAATATGTTATAATAATGAAATATATATTTTTCTAATAATTAAAAAATGAAGAGTATTATAGAAAATAATAAACATAATGATTATTTAAAAAGTCAATGATTTTATAAACACTTAATAAAGATAATTGTTATTTAATGTTAGAAAGTGAAGGTTTTAAACATACCAATAAAATTAATACTTATTTTATGTAAAATTAAGTATGCATACCTGACAAGACATGTGACATGGTGTGCACGGCTAGCATGAAAGGTTTATACAAAATTAATGGTCTTTGATTGATGTGTTAATGAAAATTGTTTTTATTAAAAAAGAAACTTCAAATGAACCAATTACATAATGACATGCCATTAGAAAGTCCATATGCGACATATGCCACATGTGATCCTTGATTTATACAAAGCTTTCTTTCCTTAGAATTGTTGAAAAATATATAATAAAATAATTATTGTATGAAATTAGTTTTGCATAAAATAAAAATGCATATATCATAAAATTAATATAATGGTTTATATAATTGTAATCGTTTTATTGAGAAAAATTAAAATAAATAGCGAATAGTATTAAAAATCAGATACAATGTTGCTTTTTAGTTAATGAAGTTTATATACTATTATGTAATAATAATTATGCATGTTATAATAAGTATATAGATATTTTCTAAAGTTTTCAAAAGTGAAGTGTCTATAAATTGCTAATAATAATAATGGTTTCAAGGGTTATAAAATTTTTAAGAAAAATTAAGGTTATTGAATGCTAGAAAGTGGAGGGGTTTATAAAAATTTAATAAAATAAGTACGCACTTGTGGCATCACATGTTGCGTGGTGTGCACATTTGACCTGAAAAAATATTTTTAAAAATAGTCTCAAAGTAAAAAGGTTATAAAAATTTAATAAAAATAATAGTTTTTTATTGTTGGAAAGTGAAGAGTTTATTAAATATAATAAAAATAGTGATTACTAAATACAAAATTAAATATGCATGCATAGAAGGACACATATCATGTGATTTACATGTGGCGTGACAGTACTATGCATGCGTGGCATGACACATGTCATCACTACAACTATGGAAATCTATTTTATACACCGGAGTGTATCATCTACGGAGTACATGTTATCTCTAAAACCACTCAGGCCAAACGCAGTAATTAACTTGTTTCGCGAAGCAGCAGCAGGCATACCCTTGTCGCTGATTGATTTAAGTCATGACTGCTGTTGCCGCTTCTGATTGCCGCCTATCACCGTCATTCGTCCTCTTGTTGTCGATTTGATCAGTTATTTTGATTCATTTAATTCATCCAATTCGTTCAATTCATCAAGGTGATTCGTGGTTTATATTTTTATTGTTAGAATTAATTGGAAATAGTTCTTCATTCGTATACATTTTATCAATTGATTACATGTTAGAAACATGACTTTTGAACTTTTTAAAATCTATTCTTAAATTATATATTGTTGAATTTGTAGTATAAGCATGTTTTAGGGATTGATGTATGTATGTATATGTTTGATGAATTTTTCTAGATGTTTTAACATCAATTTGACGTTTAAGCCTCGTCAGTGATTGTCGGGTGAAGATTGAAGATCAGCATAGCTAACCAGCCATCAGGGGGTAGTCTGCTACCAATGGGCGATACCCAGGTGCCGTTACATAGTGGGTACCTACGGTGACCGTAACATTTAACCTGCAGACTTGTACCTTGGGGTGATACCCCAATACCGCCAGGCAGTAGTGATGTAGTGTACTGAGACAAAAATTTGCATGTTCATTCTGCACCAGTTCGTAACTCATGGATATGTAATGAGTGAAGCATAAAGGTAATCAGAGGATCTTCAGTTCCTTGATAGGTCTAGATTTGATGTGAATAAATTTTTTATGAGATATGCTATTGTGTCGATTGAGCTTATTGATGATATAGTGTGAACCATGAGTTCTGGTGATGGATTAGGCCACTAAGTGTAACTATGAGAACTTAAATTGAATTAGATGATTGAATCACCAATAGGGTTGAGATTACAATTAAGGTTATGCGAGTGTCTTTGTACACCTCATGCTCTCAAGGATTAAAACGTAGGTATGTTGGTCCATGACCTCTCCAGTGAGTGCCTGAGAGGGGACTCAACCCCCTCTATTAGGAGTTCTTTGGAGTTTTGAGTGTTGTTCCTGGTGAGTGCTCAAATATTACGACTCCCATAGGATGATTGATGTGAGCCTTAGCCACTGTAAACGAATAAAATCCGTGACGAATATGGTGTTGGACAATGTGCTAATTGTTGGACAATGTGCTATCATGAATATATATTTTTGCAATGTCCTTTGCCCATTGTCTTTTAGGTTTTGATAATGACAAAAGGGTGACAATATATCATCATCATATTGTGCATCAATGCTAAGAATCAAAGCTACAACAAGTTCATATCCGTCCGTGAAGAAGGGACTTGAGCATCGGTGGAAGGAACGAGACCGAAGAGGTTGTTTCCTTAGTTGGGTAGTGTTTTAGGTCTTAGATTTTGTGTTAAAGAGTATGGCATCTCTAAGGTTCATTCCTTATCATCCTACCTTTAAAACACATTTTTTTCAGCAAACTATTCGAATAAGTTGAAAACTATTAGAATAAATCCCTGAACTTCAATTCTGACTTAGTTGAATAAATCCAGAACTAGTTGAGTAAGTCAGATTGCAGTTTCACCAAAACTAGTCGACTAAGTCTTGACTTAGTCGAATAGTTCGGCAGTTTCAACTCTTAAACGACCATTTTTTTCAAATCTTTGGGTAGTTACTCCGTCCTATCCTTATTTAAACTACTCTATCTCGTGTTTTTGGCCAAGAATATACATTGAAAATTCTTCAAAAACATATCCTTTGAATATCCAAAGAGTTCTACTCAATCCCCTCCTTATATCCAAGCAAGGCAATTGTTTTGATTGTTAAATCATTTCTTGCTTGAGTTTTTCCTCATTGCTTGAGTCTTTGAGAGATATTGCCATATTCTAAAGGACTTCATTGTATTTGCAACAATCTACTCCGTGTTGGGAGAATTACTCGGTTGCGGTTTGTTTTCTTACTTTATTGTAAGGGTTTTGTATTCTTGGTGTTGGGATTACACCAAGTGGTAGAAGTCCTAACGGTTTGTGAAATCAAACGTTAGGTGGAAGAAATCCTGAGTTTTGTGAAATCAAAACTTCGGTGGTAAGATAAGAGGCTTGTAAAATCAAGTTCTCGAGTTGTATTCGGATTGTCAAACTCCGTTAAGTTTGACGGGTTAGTGAAGGCCTGGGCACGATTGCTTCGGGGACTGGATGTAGGCATTTAGGCCGAACCAGTATATATCGTGTGTGCATTGCTCTTATCCTTCACTTTATTTTGTTTGCGGTGCATTGTTTTTATTGAATATTCGTGAAGAATGTTTCCGCGCAAAAAAAAACTGGTCTTTTGGGCAACACCTCTATTCACCCCCCCCTCTAGAGGTGTGCAAGTCGTCTAACAAGTGGTTTCAGAGCAAGGGATTTTCAAAGCTTTACCGCTGAAAATTTAAAAAGATCATGGCCGGAAGAACATTTCAACCCGGAGTTGCCGAAGGACAATCCACGACAAGGCCACCACTCTTCGACGGCACAAATTATGCTTATTGGAAAGAGAGGATGAGAATATTCATCCAATCAAATGATTATGATTCTTGGCTGGTGATCAAGTATGGAGAGACGGTTCCCACGAAGATTGTTGACGGGGTTTTTGTTCCAAAGTTAGAGACCGAATATACCTCAAATGACAAGAAGAAGATGCAACTAAATGCAAGGGCCATCAACTTTCTATATTGTGCCATGAACCCGGATGACTATTGGAAAATCTCAAGGTGCAAGACAGCCAATGAGATGTGGAACAAATTAGAGGTCACATATGAAGGAACAAGTCAAGTGAAGCACTCAAAGATCGACTTACTCACCCATGAGTATGAGCTTTTCATGATGATGGAAAATGAAATAATAGATGGCATGTTCGAGAGATTTTCAACTATCGTCTCAAATTTGGATACACTTGGGAAGCATTATGAGGATCATGTTCTCGTTCGAAAAATCCTTCGAAGTATCACACCGGAGTGGAAGTCTACAGTCAACCCTATCAAAGAAGGCCGAGATTACAATACATTGACATATGACGCACTTCGAGGTAAACTACTCACTTATGAAATGTCTAACTTTTCTAGTGCAGCGGAGATCAAAAGGGATCAAAATCTATCATTCAAAGGAGTTGCACTCAAAGCTTCATCGTCAAAATATGTCGAGACAAGCGGCTCTGGAGAAAGTGTCATTCTCGAGTTATTTAATGACTTCTTGCAAAATGAGCTTGAGCAATTGAATGAGAGTACAAAGCCTACTTACTATGGATGTGGAGAGCGTGGACATATCAAGGGTCATCACAGGTCCTAGAAACATGAACAACCCTAGTGTTAGGTGTCATTATTGTAATAAACTAGGACAAATCACACCAGTTTGTTACACTAAGTATAGGCACTTGCTTCTAAGTCAAGATAATGTGATGCATCGTTCATATGATTTTTATTATTGCCATAACACCCCTGGACCCAAAAGGCATTGGGTACCAAGATTTGCTTCGTAGATTCATCAAGGAAGGTGTGCTTGAACACTTTGACTTGAGTTGAAGTAGATGCGCCAAGCACATAATTGGGTGAAGCATCAATTAAGGGGGAAGTTGATTCACTATATTAATTCCAACTAATGTTGGTTTATATTTTAGTTGGACAATGTGATATTATTTGTTTGTTTGATATCTATTTGCATGAGCATATATCTTTTTGCCCATCTCTTTTTGATAATGTCAAAAGGGGGAAGAGGGTGTAGATATGCATATATTCAGGGAGAATTGTATTTGTGCATATCTTAATGGGGAAGATAGTATAGATTTGTATGTCTTTGTTTGATTTATGATGCAATACTTGAGGGGGAACTAGCCTTGGATGATGCATATCTCCTAATGGGTTTGTCATTATCAAAAAGGGGGAAATTGTTGGACAATGTGCTATCATGAATATATATTTTTGCAATGTACTTTGCCCATTGTCTTTTAGGTTTTGATAATGACAAAAGGGTGACAAAATATCATCATCATATTGTGCATCAAGGCTAAGAATCAAAGCTACAACAAGTTCATATCCGTCCGTGAAGAAGGGACTTCAGCATCGGTGGAAGGAACGAGACCGAAGAGGTTGTTTCCTTAGTTGGGTAGTGTTTTAGGTCTTAAATTTTGTGTTAAAGAGTATGGCATCTCTAAGGTTCATTCCTTATCATCCTACCTTTAAAACACATTTTTTTCAGCAAACTATTCGAATAAGTTAAAAACTATTTGAATAAATCCCTGAACTTCTATTCTGACTTAGTTGAATAAATCCAGAACTAGTTGAATAAGTCAGATTGCAGTTTCACCAAAACTAGTCGACTAAGTCTTGACTTAGTCGAATAGTTCGGCAGTTTCAACTCTTAAACGGCCATTTTTTTCAAATCTTTGGGTAGTTACTCCGTCCTATCCTTATTTAAACTACTCTATCTCGTGTTTTTGGCCAAGAATATACATTGAAAATTCTTCAAAAACATATCCTTTGAATATCCAAAGAGTTCTACTCAATCCCCTCCTTATATCCAAGCAAGGCAATTGTTTTGATTGCTAAATCATTTCTTGCTTGAGTTTTTCCTCATTGCTTGAGTCTTTGAGAGATATTGCCATATTCTAAAGGACTTCATTATATTTGCAACAATCTACTCCGTGTTGGGAGAATTACTCGGTTGCGGTTTGTTTTCTTACTTTATTGTAAGGGTTTTGTATTCTTGGTGTTGGGATTACACCAAGTGGTAGAAATCCTAACGGTTTGTGAAATCAAACGTTAGGTGGAAGAAATCTTGAGTTTTGTGAAATCAAAACTTCGGTGGTAAGATAAGAGGCATGTAAAATCAAGTTCTCGAGTTGTATTCGGATTGTCAAACTCCGTTAAGTTTGACGGGTTAGTGAAGGCCTGGGCACGATTGCTTCGGGGATTGGATGTAGGCATTTAGGCCGAACCAGTATATATCGTGTGTGCATTGCTCTTATCCTTCACTATATTTTGTTTGTGGTGCATTGTTTTTATTGAATATTCGTGAAGAACGTTTCCGCGCAAAAGAAACTGGTCTTTTGGGCAACACCTCTATTCACCCCCCCTCTAGAGATGTGCGAGGCGTCTAACATATGGCATATCCGAATCTGATTAAGTTTTGAGATATCGGAATTCGTATCCGACAGATATTTACATTTCAATATCCTAATCCGTAACTGATGATAATTCCCAATTTCGGATATATCTGGATCTGATTACATATTGAAAACAAACCAAATATCTGAATTTGACGGAATATCAATATGTCCAAACACAAAAAAGAAAATGTGAGATGGGGGCGGAGGGACTAGAACCCAACACCTCCAACTTTAAAATTAAAAGTTGCAGCCATCGGGGCTAAATCAAACACTTGGTATTTATAAGCAGTACATAATATATATTTTTTTCTTAATACATTCCATGTTCTAATTTTTTAACAAAATAATCTACATCTAATTGTAATGCTTTGTATTTGTTCTTTAAATAAACGTCATATTATTTATAATTATAAGCATACTTATGTTATGTGATAATAATTTATTATATTTAAAAGTAGTTCAAAAAACTTGGAAAATTCTTTTTAAGACATAAATATGATTATTATATACCAAGCTACGGTCGTTGACCTAAGTCAACCTGGTTTGACTGGTTGACCCTTGACCTAGTTGCTAGTTCGGTTGGACGCGATCTGGCTTTTAGAACATTGTCAAATATCTGAAACTTTTAATAAAAAATTCAAATGATTATTAAAGGAATGTGAAAGTGAATATTGAAATCCATAATACTGTACAACGTCAAATACGTAAAAAACTACTTTCTATTTAGTAAATACTTAACAGAAACAAATTATTTGAACAAAAATATAAATTGAAAATCGACCAAGTACATTATGGAAGTAATGGTAAGATACAAAGGTTAGAGACTTAGTGGGTAATGTATATTTTTAGATATATGGGCCAAGTATAAATGTATAATGGGATGGGTAGAAGATTATATTTATTAAAATAATTTTAATTCGGTACTCGAATAAACGGATATTGAGATAAATGGTTATTTAAACAGAAATATATCCGGATTGGGTATACAATTACCAAATCTATATCCGCTTAATAATCGGATGTTCTTAATCGGATACAGATAATATCCGTTTAAAATGGATGTGGATTATTCTCGTTTAAATGGATACAAATGCGAATGGTAATTGGATTTTCAGTTATGCATTGACATCCCTAGACTCATTCGTATGATGTTGTGTGGTTCTGTATGATTGTGGTACTACTCTGTAAATTTATTTGAGTTATAGATATATTCTCACTCAGCTGAACATGTGGTCTTTGTTATCTTTGGCTGCAGGTATGAATCTGGGATTCGATGAGCAACCCGGCGGTCAAGGATGCTCGGTGAAGTGGATGTCCCGAAGATGTTTTATGTTAAATTAATTATTCAGTTGAACTTGTTTATTTAAATTACAAGAATGTTTGGCAATGTTGTTCTAAAAGGCTTCTACAACGTTTAGTTTATTACTCCGATTAGATACATGTGTTTAACTATGAATGGTTTTGTTTTAAATTTTTTGTAATTGAAGTGCATGTGGATAGAAATTAAGTGGCAACATAGTTTGCTAACTTCTTTGTCCGGGTTACATGGGTTAGGGTGTTCCATCTTAGTATCAAAGCACGTGGTTTCAAAAATGGTCTTCAGACCCATGTTTCCAAGTACCTTTTCGCAAACCTAGGCATCCAGAGGTTCGCTATGTCACGACTCTCGTAGGTAATTTATTATTATCTTATGTGAATAATCACTGATTATTGAGATTAAGTATTACCTTGTGTGAATCAATGTTGCCTTATGTGAATAGGTTTGTAATTCATTCATGATTTTAGTGACCCATATATAGAATAAGGCACTCTTCAATTCATAACAATCCATGACAACATATATGTGCGATAATGGTATGTTAAAAAATAATAATAATTTGTGTTATGTGCTAACCAAACACGTTGATTGATGTGTTCATTTTTCATTAAGAGGCATAATAATTAAATCACCAAAACTTTAAAATTAAACAAGTTTCTTGATCAATGACTAAAACCATGTCTTTCACAATAAAGATTGTTTTTAAAACTTTGTTGAGTATGATTATCTATTTTACACGCAGTACCTTAGAAGAATTTTGGGGATGAAAGTCTTTTAAAGGGAAAATAAATGTAATGCCTCAAAATATACCCTATAATTAATGATAAATTTCAAATATATATATATATATATATATATATATATATATATATATATATATATATATATATGATAGAGTCTCCTGGTCCTATCTTGAGAAGATCCTCAACCTTTTTGGATTCTCAGCTCCTTCAATATCATTACTCATGGGTTTCACTAAAAGAGCCTCCCTCAGCCTGCTCATTAATGGAAATCAAAGTGATTATTTTTCCCCTTCAAGAGGGCTGAAACAGGGAGATCCACTTTCCCCTTTGTTATTCAACATTGCATAAGAGGGCTTTTCAAGAAGTATCAACCAGCTGTACACATCGAGAAAACTGGAGCCATACACAATGGGAAGGAACCTACTACCGATACATATCCTCACATATGCAGATGATTTGCTTTTGTTTACTAACGGAGAAGTTCACAACCTCATAAAGCTGAGAAATTTTCTCAATGAGTATGAGAACGTCTCTGGACAACGGATTAATCTGGACAAAAGCAGATTCTACGTCCCAAAAAAGATACCAAGCAGAAGATGGCGGAAGATGGAACGAATTCTGGGGATTAAAAAAGGAGTCATTCCTTTTCAATATTTGGGCTGTAAACTCCATAAGGGGATCACAAGAACGACACACTGCACGGATCTCATAAAGCACATTGAAAAAAAGATCAACTCTTGGCACAATAAACACCTTGGACCCATGGGAAGATTAATTTTAATCAAACACGTGCTTAGCTCTATTCCAATCCACCACATGTCCTATACTAACCTGCCAAAGGGAGTCATTAAACATATACACTCTCTAATGGCAAGATTCTTTTGGGCTGGAAATAGAGATAAGGCGTACCACTGGAGGAGTTGGGATTATCTTTGCAAACCATTGAAGAATGGGGGGCTCGGTATAAAGCGAATGGACCTTCTACAAACTGCCTTCAACACCAAACTCTGGTGGGAATACAAATATAGTAGTTCCCTTTGGAAAGATTTTCTGGTGGCTAGGTATCCCAAGGGGCTCCAGGGGAGAGTTTATCAACACTATTCCCCTACATGGAAAATCATTGTGGACATTGAACATAGATGGAGTTACTTAACTGATGACGAACTATATAGGAAAAGATGTGCTCCAATGGTTTATTTAAAATCAAGAAGGTCTACGAACTGATATAGGAAGACGGCTCTCACTGTTGGTCCTTAGATTATATATGGCAGCCGAAGCAGTCTGGTAAAATCTCTATGTTTCTTTGGAAACTTACTAACCACTGCTTACCGTTTCCTGAAAACCTCAAAAGATTTAATGTTAATCTTCCCTCAATGTGTCCCTTCTTTAAGAATGATATCATCAGTGGCTTCCATACTCTTTTTGAATGCCCATGGAGTAGACATATCTGGAATCATTATTCCTCTTTGCTTGATGTTCCCCCTACACAAGGAAGGGGAATTCTTTCATCTCTATTCCATTGGTGGCTTCAAGCTAATGATAACTCCATCTTTGGAAAGCTTATTGGTGTCATTCTAGGGATCATTTGCTGGAATATTTGGAAATCTTTTAACAACTATCTGTATGATGGAGATCAGCCTATCACAATCCTAACCATACAGAGGATTACCTTTGATATTTTTAACTGGAGCAGCAGTTTAGCGGGCAGCAAGTTGGCCCAAAATAATGACACCCTCATTACTTTGGGTCTATCGCCTCTTTTTAATAAAAAGATTAAAATCGAATGCTCTTTGCCTTTCTGGGATGTCAATATCACATATCTCCATGTTGACGCCTCAATTATGAATGGTAAAGCAGCTGGGGGAGCGATCCTTAGGAATGGCAAAGGTAATTTCATGGCTAGCATCACAACCAATCTGACCTTTACACACATCTTCGCAGTTGAGATTGAAAACATTATCAATGCAATCCAGTGGGCTCAGAACAAGGTAACTACTCTTCTCATTCTCCATACCGATTGCAAAGCAATTACTGAGGCATTATACACGGACAGGGCTTGCATTAGCCCAACTCTCAAAAAGTTCAAGGATCTGGTTCAGGAGACGAATCTTATTGTTAAGCACGTTCAAAGAGATTTCAATCAAGCGTCACACCATCTCGCTAGATTTGCTATTATGTATTCCCACTTTGTTGAAACTCTACATTTTTGTTGTTTGCCTAGAGTGGTTAGAGGCTGTATTAAACTAGATGTATCAACTCCCCTGATTATCAATAAATAAAGCTTTATATATATATATATATATATATATATATATATATATATATATATATATATATATATATATATATATATATATATATATATATATATATATATATATATATATATATATATATATATATATATATATATATATATATATATATATATATATAGGGGTCGGTACCACCCGGATTCGATCCTCAGAAGGGGCAACTTTGGGGGAATTTTAAGGGAGTTAAGCGTGCTGGCCATGGAGTAGCAGAAATGATGGGTGACCCCCTGGGAAGTGTTTGCAGATTTATGAGGTTGGGTTTTAGATTGGGCTTTCATTGGGCTTCTTATAGTGGGCTATCTGCCTCGGGTGTTTAACGGGCCCCGGGGCAGTCACAAGATTTACGGGCCTCGGGTCCCCTGCTTGTAACTGACCGTTCCAATAATATTAATAAAAAAATTTTAAAAAAAAAATATATAGGGGTCGGTTCAGGTGAGAATGCATCTTGGTGAAAGAAATAAGAATAAAATCTAGCCTTTGGATCTGATGCATCGTGCGGCTCAGATTGCATCTTGCACTCAGATTTTGAGATAATGCATTTTTAAAGGATTTTGGTGCATTTTGACATGATGCATTTTCAAACCATTTTGGTGCACTTAATTTTGATGAAATCCTGACCCTTAGATCTCACAATCTAAAGCACCTGATTCATTTTTATTTCTTTCATAAGATCACATTCTCACCTGAACAAAAATCTATATATATATATTGTAGTCGTGGGGTAGGTCTCATGAATAGATGACCAACGATATATTGTTTGTCAAGTTTGGAACTTTGTGTAAAATTAATGAACGAAATAGATTTTTCAATAGAATAAATAAATGAATTTATTTGATAAAATAATAATAATAAACTAAATCGTAAGTCTACTCTAACTACAAAAACTAAACCCACCCGTCCCAGTATTTATACATGGAGTATAACATCTACGGAGTACTTATTATGTATAAACCACTAAGGCCGCACATAGTAATATCGGTGGGGTTCTAGTGACACCGGAATACGGTGCCACTAGCGGTGCCACTGCGTTTTTGGAGCACCTCCGGTGCTCTGTTCGCAAAATTGACGGTTCCTACCCCCCTAACCTACCCCCTAAACCCCCCACCCTACTCCCGCCCCTGCGCCCCCACCCCAACCCCGCCGTAAGCCCCCCACAAGATGTGTGGCTATTATGCGTTGCATAATAGCCACACATTTTGTGGGGGGCTTACGTCGGGGTTGGGGTGGGGGCGCAGGGGCGGGGGTAGGGTGGGGGGTTTAGGGGTAGGTTATGGGGGGTAGGAACCGTCAATTTTGCGAACGGAGCACCAGAGGTGCCCCAAAATGCCAGTGGCACCGGAGTGGCACCGTATTCCGGTGTCACTAGAACCTCACCGTAGTAATATACTAGCTAGTTCTACGAAGCAGCAGACGTACCCTTTCCACTGATTGATCGATTTATGCTATGAGCACTGTCATCATTGCTGATTGCCGCCAATCGTCATTGTTTGTCCTCTTGTTGTTGATTTACCCATTAATTTAATTCATTTAACTTGTCCAATTCATTCAATTCCACACGGTGAGTCGAGGTTCATATGACTATCGTTGGAATTAATTTATAGAATAGATCTTCATTTGCATATGTGTTATAAATTGACTACGTGTTGGGAACATGATTGTTGAACTCGTTAAAATTTGTTCTTGAATCATATTTTGTTGAATTTGTAGTAGGAGCATGCTTTAGGGCTTGATGTATGTATATATGTTTGATGACTTGTTATGGACATTTTGATGTCAATTCCACGTCTGGAATCTCGCTGAAGATTGATAGACAAAGGTTAAACATGACCGAGGTTGACCACTTGTCAGGCGGTAGCCTACTACCGGTGGGTGGTACCCAGGTACGGTTACACTATGGGTAACTATCGTAACCGTGACCTTAGACCTGTAGACCCATACCTTGAGGTGGCACCCCCCCCTATCGCCAGATAGTATTCAGGTATTGTATCTAGACCAAAATTTGAATGTTCATTTTGCACGAGTCTGTAACTCCTTGAATTGTAATGAGTGAAGCTTGAAGGTAATCAAGGTTGGATTTGCTCCCCTGATATGCTGCAATTTGATGTGAATTGATTTTCTATGAGATATGTTATTGCATGGACTAAGCTTACTTTTTCTATAATGTGAACCAAATTGTGATGATTGATTATGCCACTTAGTGTAACTAGGCAGACTTGAAATGAGTTAGACGATTGAATCACCAATAGGATAGAGATTAAAACTAATGTCATGCTAGTGTCATCTCACACCTGATGGTCTTGAGGGATAAAGCGTACGTATGGTGGTCCGTGTCCTCTCTAGTGAGTGCGAGAGAGGGTCATCAACCCCCACCATTGGGAGTTATTTGGAGTTTTGAGTGCGGTTCTTGGTGATTGATTTGATCCTACAAATCCCATAGGATTGATGTGAGCCTTAGCTGTATGGATAGATGAATATACTAGGATGAATTCTGATCATTAATGATGTGATATGATGATGTGACTAATCCGTATGATATTGTTTGATTGTATATGATTGTGGTACCACTCTGTAAGTTGACTCAATTATTATATATATTCTCACTCTGCTTTCAACTAAGCATGTAGTCTTTGTTTTCTTTGGCTACACGGGGGAAGGAAACAAGGATTGAATGAGCACCCCAACGGTCAGTGATGCTTGGCAAAGTGGATTGCTTAAAGCTATTTTATTTTAAATTAATTATTCAATTAAACTTATTTATTTAAATTTTAAGAATGTTTTGTGAAATTGTTTGTAAAAGCTTCCGAAACGTTTTATTTATTACTCTCAATAGACACATGCTTTAAATATGAACAATTTTATTTTAAATGTTTTGTATTTAAGGTGCATGTGGAAACCAATTGAGTGGAAACCTGGTTCCCTAACCCATTCGTCCAAGTTATGCATAAGTATGACTCCTCCTGAGGTTGAAAATAACAATCTCTCTCCCCCTTTGTAATTTTCCTTGATATTTTAAAGTCAAGTTGTTTGGTGAGATTTCAATTACAGAGGGCTTAGAATATAATGAAGCAATTGGTTGATGCTCACCGGTCTGAAAGATCATTTCAGGTTGGAGATTGGTATTTCTCAAACACAACCCTACAAACACATGTTTTTAGCAAATAGATGTAAAGAAAAGGGAGTCATAAATACTCTAGGCCTTTATAAATAGATTCAACTATTGTGTGATGGGGGCTACAACTCCAGCTGCTAGAATTTGATATGATTCATGATGTCTTTCATGTCTCCCTGCTAAAAGACTTTTCTCGATAGTTGCATTCACAACTTCAAATCCCTAATAGGTTGCAGGGCATAAATACTACATATAAACTTTAGCCCGTTATTATTTTAGATAGAAGAATACAAAAGAAACAGAATGCAGTGAGTCGGGGTGGGCAACAGGCCTTGCATGGTGTTTCTTCCAACATTGGGAATAAGGTTGTCGTTCCAAGGGGGTGGCATGTTACCGGTGGCTTTGTTGGCCGAAGTGATGCATTAGAGTTTCTATTAGTTGCAAGTTAGTTAAGGGTTGTTGCAATTGAGGATAAATAGACATCTTATCTCTAAACTAACACATATTATTATTTATTTTTTTAATATAGGTTACAAACTCTCTATTCTTCTTCCTTAACATTCTGTGCAACTCTTTGAGGATCCATTCCTAAATCTAGTATCTTCCTACCAAGTACCAGCTGCATTACTTTGTATATAAATATTTACATGCCTATATGATAAGGTTTAGACTTCGCGTGTGGAGGACTCAATATTGTTGGATGCATAAATCTCGGGCTCACCATTGTACCAACCCTGTACTCCAAAGATCACACAAAAGAACTAGTTTTTTATATTTTGGTGTGTGTGAAGTTTTACAAAAAAAAATTGGGAGGGGTGGGGGCTTGTTCCGAATTAAAATACCCTAGATGTCACATATAGAACCCTTAAAAGTTTACCATATGAAGAAGCACCATTTACCTTTAACTTTTTGGTCGTATTGCTTCTTGTCTTTCATCATCAGTGATGCTGCATCACCATTTAAGGGATCTGATGGGTTTGGGTAAAGTAAGAGCTGTGGAAGGAAAACCTCAAATATATTTAACAGATCTGCACCAACATAAATAAGGACAACTTAAGCCTTTAAGATCTTGCAAAAAGCAATCCATAAAGGCATTCGTATAAACTTCTTTTTCAGTGTCATGAAAGACTCAAGGGGATAAATACATTGTTTACTTCAATGTAACAACTTACCAAACATTGGACTCCATGTCTGGTTGATGACATCCAAGCACACAGAACCTGACCTGTAGTGAATGGAAAAAATTTGATAAGCTAGCATTAAACGCTTCTTTAACATGAAAAGATCTAAAAATTTATTGAAACTAACAACATACTCCAAACATCTTGATGATAACATGAGAAGTCACAAACTATGATAATATAAGAGTTTAATGGTATGAAAGCTCACAGTTCATCAACATTTGGGTGATATATTTTGTTGATAAATCCAATGGAAGGAGACTTATAAGGATAAGCATCTGGGAGTTCCACGCGGACTTTCCAAACCCCGCCTTCATAAAGGCCTTCAAAATGTCAAAACAAAAGTAAATAGATAAAGATATAGAATTAGAAGATCTTTACCAAATGACATGACATCATTACAGATATAGGGATAATGATTAATGAATCATTATAGGAAAATGGAAAAAGAGTATTGAGGGTAAAAAAACAGGTGTCAAATTTTCTATAATAAATATGTGGTGTAATCATCATTGGCACCTTAGTCCCAACTACATTGGGGTCAAAATGTGTCATGTCAACAAATTGTTTTTTGAAAGTGAATACTCTTAAGTTTCTATAGAAAATAACAATGAAAATGTTTTGCACGGGATTCCCTTCAAGCCACCTCCTTATAAAGAGAGCATAAGTAAAAATAAGATGTATCAGCACAATATACCAAGGAATTGCATATACTAATGAAATCTTAACAAGACATCCATGTATATCAAGGAAAATGAGGACCATTACTTTCTTTTGGACCATGGAATTCCACAACAAAGTTGTTGATTTCATCATCTTTTGGCTCCACGGTGTAATCATTCATCATTCTATAACATACAAACACAAAAATAAAATGACTTATAAGCAAAATAGAAGTTGAAGAAGTAAAATTAAGATCTGTCATTTAAAAGTGTATGAACACTTACAATTTCATGACATCCATATCCCTTCTCTTACTTGGGGAAGACATTTTTTAAAATGCAATGTTTTGTCAGAACTGCCAAATTCATTTAAAAAAGATTAAAAGTTTTAAAGGCAAGCAATATGCGTAGAAATATTATAAGGCATGATAATTCAAATTAAAGAATAGAAAGAGCAACATATTATATGCTATGGGAAGAAAAAGTAGATAAATAATGCAAAATTTGCAACACATATTTCACCAATAACGTACAAAGAAGCAAACTTGTTCTGTTGTCCCAATTCCTCTGTCCTGTGGAGGTGGGTATAAGCAGTGATAAGAAATTGATAACATAAATGCCAACTTTTGTCAAAAGCAAAATACTTTGTATTGATCTTTGGTTAATAATTCTCTTTTTTAATAAACAATTTTATTTGATTTATTAGAAGCCATTGCATGAGAGAAACTAGAACCACTAATTTGATTTAACTACCAATACAATTTAAGTGATGCAAAATATATGAACTAAACATGGTGCAATAGTGCATAACCACTAAATTATTGTGGATGGTGGACATGGATACCAAAGTCGATGGTATACATGCCTTGTTTTGCATTGCGATTGTGAAGCTTATTGTTTCTCCGAGAAAATTGGGTACGACCATGCAATGTCTAAATTCTAATACAACCACCTATCAATCTATTTTAGAAAATTCCTTTTGGGTACCTTTAATTTTTTGGTAAGAATTATGGGGTCTCACATTAAAAAAAATAACTCTGACGGTGTCTAAAATTTGAACTAAATTACTAGGGTACATTCCGTCCAATCGATCATTAGAGAAAAAAATTCGCTTAGTTACCCTCTTCATAATTACTTTGAGATGTCTCAAGTTTATACTAATTATTCACATGTCCTCTTTTGCCTTCCTCAATATCTTCACCCTTTAGCAATTTTGGGTGCTCATTTCTCCTTCTTCAACACTTCCTTGTGTGTTAGAGACTCACAATTGGGTTGTTGAAGCTCAAGGACACCAAAGGGAATTCTCATGTTAACAGCGGAGATCTCAAACAAATCTGTAATTGGGCATTGTGGGGAAAGATATCGCTAGTCTCCGTGGTGGCTCTAGTGATTATGATGACTCTAGTGACTTCCGCTCTATCATCCTCATCACTGGTGACTAGCCAACATCAGACCTCCACCTCACCCAGCCATCACCAGTGGCGCCTAGAGCATAGACGTCGCACCTTCACCACCATAGCTCTCTCTATCCCAGCGATTTGGCTAGCAAGGGAGATCAAATGGAGGATGAAGACAAAAGAGGATATGTGAGTTTTTAATTTAAACTTTGAGATACCCCTTAAAAATTATGAAATGGTAACTAACAACATTCTCGCCCCTAACGACTAGTTGGACGGAAAGTACCCTAGAGTAATTACTTCAAATATTAGATGCACCTAAAATTATTTTTGAAAATGTGGGACCCTGAAGTTCCTACCACAAAACCAAGGGTACTCAAAAATGAATATTTTTTAATGTAGCATTACTAAAGAACCAAATAAAATATAATATTGACATAAAAAATTAAAATATTTTAAGAGTATATAATATGTTTTTAATGAAAAATTTACTATAAAAGTTTGGTAATGAGCATGCCAAAGTTTTTCTTTAATTTTTTATTTTTTAAGATTTGTTTATGTTTATTTTTTGAAAACATTCAAGATATATAACATTATTTATGAAGTTGCAAGAGCTACCACTAACATCTAAAACTAATAATTTTAATCTTTTGTATCACTTGTGAAAATTCAACACGAAATTATGTGTGAATGAATATGTGGTGGACATGAGTTCAAACACCTTTTGGATATTCTATAATATAATTTTTCAGGTTTTGATAAATGACAAATGGAACAATGAAATCGAAACAATGATCAAAAATTTGTTTTTCGAATCGAGAAAGCAAAGAGACGTATCGAGAAATTTAGGACATTCATTTTCAACGCTCACCCCTGCGCAAAGGTTTTTGAAGTAAAGTGAAGATTCCAAAAACTTTTTAATTTTATTGAGTCTAGGAACAATTTGTAAGGATGACAAAAAATTTTGCTTAAACAAATTAATTTTTTAGGGATAAATATTATTTTTTTGAGTCAATTAAAAAATAAATGTTTCTCTATCTAAAAATAATTTATTGGGTCAGTTACAAAAAGGTGTGTCAAAATTTCTTCAAACAATTTTTTTAGATACACAAGTTTTTTTGTGGTTGAGAAAAATATACTTTAAATATTTTTCATGTACTTCATTTGACAAACAAAATATTTTTGGGTCTCAAATTCTACACCAAAAGTTCAATTCCATAACTCAAAATTGATTTTGAATTATCTTGTTTGATTATGGAGCCTCTTATCCCTGAAAACTTGTCTCAAACAAGCTAATGACTCCAATTTGTACTCTCCACTTGCACACATGCTTGTGTTATTCATATTTGGGCATTATTGTCGTAAAAATCGATTAACATCCTTTGGGATTAGTCGATTAAGCATTTGAACCGTTGAAGGATCGGATTTTCACACAGACCAAATTAATCGATTATTCCCCTCTGGGATTAATAGATTAGCATCACCCTTTGCAGAAGGATTTTCAGATAGACTATATTAATCGGTTTTTCCCTTCCAAAATAATCGATTAATATTCGTATGCATTTCATTTAACCCTTCTCTATTGCTCCGACGGATTTATTCTCTTCCACCCTATAAAATTCCCCATCCTCCTTCATTCAACACATAATTCTTGCACTCCGTTCATCCCTTCTATTACATTCAACTCCTTGCTTCAGTCTTCTTCATCAAAAGATTATTTAGAGAGTTAAAAATATTTTTGTTGAGTGCAAAAGATATTGTCATCCATAGAGTTTTCATTTTAAACACTACTTGCTCAGATTGTGTGAGCTTTCATTCTTGTGTTGTAAAACTCATTATTTGTAATACCCCGTATCAAGATGGGAATGGGAAGAGCTCAAAAGGATTGATAGTACTACTCATACCAACAAGGTGCATCTTCTTTTCGAGAGCTCATCACCTAGAAACTCCAAAGGTAAGCGTGCTTGACCTGGAGCAATTTTAGGATGGGTGACCCCCTGGGAAGTTTTCCTTCGGCGCGCACGAGTGAGGACAAAGTGTGCGGGAAAGACTTGTGTTGGTTTGTGGGGCTAGTCTACAATCTTATGAGCGGACACTTACGGCTAGAATGGGGGCCGGGGTGTTACAAATGGTATCAGAGCAACCCTGCGACCGTGACGGGCCAAAAGAGCTTAGTTCACTTAGCGGGGAAGATCTAAGGGTTTAAAAAGAAAGGATGCAACGAGGACGTTGCATTTCTAAGTGGGGGTGAATGTAATACCCCGTATCAAGATGGGAATGTGAAGAGATCAAAAAGATTGATAGTACTACTCATACTAACAAGGTGCATCTTTTTTTCGAGAGCTCATCACCTAGAAACTCCAAAGTTAAGCGTGCTTGACCTGGAGCAATTTTAGGATGGGTGACCCCCTGTGAAGTTTTCCTTGGGCACGCACGAGTGAGGACAAAGTGTGCGGGAAAGACTTGTGTTGGTTTGTGGGGCCAGTCTACAATCCTATGAGCGGACACTTACGGCTAGGATGGGGGCCGGGGTGTTACATTATTATTTGAGTTTGATTGTTGCTAAGACTTGTGTGATTCAAGTCTTGTTGTGAGAAGTTAGGAATTTTGTAATTCAAGTCTTGTTGTAAGAAGTTGAGGCTTGTGTGACTCAAGCTCTCGAGTTGTAACTGGTTTTTCAAGCACTCGTTGAAGCTTAAAGAATAGTACGACCTTTGAGAGAGTCTCTTAGAGGACAAGACTCTTTGCGACGAACATTCTAAAAACTGGTCGATGGAACAAACTATTCTTCAAGCTTGAAATGCCATTCAAAGATGAAATGGCTTCTAGAATGTTCAAGGCCACCATTGTTCGATGGAACAAACTATTCTTATTGGAAGGAAAGGGTGAGAATTTTCATCCAATCCAATGACAACAAGCTGTGGTTGATTGTGAAGAATGGATGTGGCATTCCGATGAATAAAGTCAGTGAAGTCAACGCCCCCAAACCCAAAGAGGAGTTCAACGACAATGATTGTAAGAAAATGGAGCTCAAGATTTATTGAAGAGTTAACGTGGATGACTACCGTAAGATTTCACGGGGTGAAACCGCAAAACAAATGTAGGAAAAGTTCCTACAAAGGAACCACGCAAGTTCGGGAGGCCAAAATCGACCAACTCACTCACGAGTACGAGCTCTTCTCGATGAAGGAAAACGAGAA